CGCGCGCCGAGAAGACGTCAACGGCGTGCGCGCGTCGCGTCGACGTCGACGTCGTCTCGGGACGCGCGCGCGCGCGCGCGGGCGCGGGCGCGGGGCGAATGATTGAACGCGTGCGTGAAATTCAAAAAATGGATGCGATCGCGACACCCGCGCGCGTCGGCATCGACGAACGCGGACGACGGCCATGGCGTCCGCGTCGCCGACGCGGGCGACGAAGCGTCGACGACGGTCGAGCGGGACGGGGGGCGACGACGACGTCGTGGACGCGCGCGATGGACGCCCGCGCGACGGCGCGCGATTGGAGGTGCAGTGGGAGGTGCGCGCGGAAACTTCGGACGACGACGCGTGCGGTGCGACGACGTTGACGTGGTGGCCGTGCGTCGTGCGCGAGGACGATGGTGGGACGTTTTTGACGTACGCGGCGAGGGATGGGTTCGAATCGGAGACGCGGGGGGTGACGTTCGCGGATGGCGGTTCGAGACGGCGCTTGACGCACGACGACGAGGGCGGGATATTTCGGTGGCGGTTCGAGGGTGAGGAAGACGAAGGGGACGTTGGGGAGGGGGAGGAGGTGGTGGATGACGCGCCGACGACGATGGGGGAGATTTTACGCGCGCAAGAAGCGATGGACGCGGCGCACGGCGAGAGCGTGGAGAACGCGTCGATGGCGGCGTTCGCGACGTTGCCGATGAATCAGCAGATGAATCTCGCGAGCGCGTTCGCGACGTTTAAGGAGAAGCTTCTCGGGAAACTGAACTCGCTCGTCGCGCAGAAGGGCGACGACGTCATCGTCACTAAAGACGACATCGACAACATCATGGGCGACATCGCGAAGTGATCGAAGAGCTCGATCGAAGAGCCGTGGTTGAGGGTTGATGAGCTAATGTTGTGATTTTGACGAACCGGTACTGTCGAGTGATTCCCCAGCGATCTCGAGGAGCCGACGCGAGGGCGCGCGTGACCACCGAGAGCGCGCGAGAGAGCGCGCGAGAGAGCGCGCGCTCCAAAAATACAAATGGCGTCACACCTCGACGCGCGCGAATGCGGCCTTCTCTCGATGGAACCTTCGAGTGATGATGTCCAAATTGATGACTTGCTCAGGGCGCAAGTCGTTCGCCTCGAGGTGGGAACGATTTCCGTCAGAATATCGGCTTTGACTTTCTTGCTGGACGCGCTGTGCAGAGACGTCTCGGTTCTTCGGGAGGAGATGGCACGAGATGTCATCGAGGCGTGCTTACGCGCGTGTCGAGATCAAGCGCCGAATATCGCACGTTTAGCCCGCTTCGGCATGTTCAAGGTGTTACGGGCGTGCGCGGAGTCCAAGGCTCACAGACTCGCCGCTCTCGCGGTCAAATGCGTCGTCTTCGCGAGCGTAGAGCACGAGTCATCGGACGACGACGAGACGCGCTCGCACGCCGCCGTGGAGTGTCGAAAGGCGTTGCGAAACACATCGATTATGTCACTTTTGGCTGAAACGTCGCATCGCGCCTTGCGTCTGCTCGCTGACGGCGACCATCGAGGAGCCGCTCGAGTTCTTCGTCCGGAGACGATGCGTGACGACGCGTCACCATCGACAGTGATGGGAGGTGCGATCACTCTTTCGACCCCGAGGCCACGCATGCTCACGGCGAGGCAGCGCACGCTTCAAGACATTCAGCGCGCGCGTTCGAAGAGGCTAAAGGCGGACGCAGAAATCGCGGCCCAACAAAAGCAAGCGTCTGAAGAGACAGAACGACGTGAACGAGAGTTCGAGCGACGAGCGACGATCGCCCGCGCCTCTTACTTGACTACTACGTCTCAATTGTCTACTACAACTGGCTGATGCGCTCACGCGGACGTGTGGAACATCATGACGACTTCTGCCTCGTACTCGTGCATGGCGTTGACGATGCCCTTGAACGATGACTCGTCCGCTCTGCACCACGACGTGCCTTCAAACTTGCTCTTCTGTCCGCGCGATTGCGATTTAACCTTGCGCACACCGCGTCCATCGCACGCGGGTCCCACGTGACCGACGTCGGTGTATCCCTGATTCCACAGGTACTCGAACATGATGGCCACGTCTTCGTCCATCTCAGCCGAGAGCGCCCTGACGAGTGCTGTACGCGACTCAAACATCAAAACTCGCGGATGTTTTCCAGCCTCCAAGAGTGTTTTGAAGCCTTCGAATATTTCGCAGTCGAATCCTCGACCTGCGATGCGCATGGCGTCAATTTTGTCGTGCAGCCCGAGCAAGCGCTTGAACTCATCACCGCTCGAGAGTGTCTCGTGCTGGGTGCCTATTTTAATCTTATCCACGAGATTATTATGTTCAATCGCCGCTTTGAAGTGGGGAAGGAACTTTTTACCCCACTCGTACGCGTGCACGACGTCACCCATCAACGCCGCGGCGAGCGAGTAGTACCCAAAGCCAGCTCCGATGTCGACGAAAACGGCGCTCTCGCCTGGCGTTCGCTCCAGACTGTAAAATAATATCTCTGCCGGATTTTCACCGGCCCGTAATGGCTTTTGCATCACCACTCTCGGGCGCCCGTACAGTGTGAGCCAATATCCCTCCGATCCGCGCACTTCGGCGTCGATCCCGGGCACCGCGGTGCCGAGCAACGGGTTCAGCAGATCGAAAGACGGCGACCACATCACGTTCACCGGATACATGCGGTCTTTATCCACCGCGGGCATTTGAAAGTTCTCATCGCGCAAAGCGGCGCGCTCTCTGTACCTCGGCAAGTCGTTTCTGATCGAGTGGTACAGAATCGCCACGTGATCCGTCCAAGAACGCCTCCCGTTCCACCCCGTCTTTTGCTTCCATCCTCCTGAGTACTTGTGCGCCACGAAGACGTCCGGGTGACTTTGGCTCACGCCTTCCTCGCCGAGAGGGTGCGTGCCAAATATAACCTTTGGTAACACTTTGACGTTCCAGGATTTTTCACCAGAGACGCGAACGTATTCAAAGTGTTTCATCACGGCATCCGTGAACGCGCCCGGTCCCGTGCGCTCGAGCGTGTTGCGATTCGAAGCCTTGGTGAACACCTTTGTCGCCCCATTTTTAATGTGCTCCGCCACCGCGATCAGAGCTGGGTGACCAGGTGCCCCCGCGAAGACCCAGTTCAACATCTGTCGGCGTCGAACGAAATGCCGAGAGTACGCCCTGGCGTCTGTGGCAAACTCGTCCTCCCATCCCACCACCAAAGTGTCCTTCGCGTCCACCACGTCGTCCAACGATCGTCGACACTCTGTGTCTATGTCCGCATAGACCCCACCATGCTTCAAGACGACGAGATACCGAAAGAAATCGCTCTGCTCCACCTTTTTCTCCAGCGACGCGTACGCCTCGGCGTACTCCGGGAAGTGGTCGCCGACGAACCGCTCGCAATCGTCGTCGTCGTAAAACCGCACCTCCCACAGCGGATTCATCACTCGCCACGTCTCCATCGCCGCCTTATTCGCCACCGTCAACGAAGCGCGAGATTTAAACGTCTGATGAATCACCCGCGGGACGAGCTTGGGCCCGCTCGCTCGCGCGCTCGGCCGCCGCGCAGCCGCCGCGCTCGCCCCGACCGCCGCACCCACCGGTTCCTCGCTCGAACGCCCGGCGTACATGAGCAGTATAATCATGAGCACAATCGCCGTCGTTTTCGGCCGCGCGCGAGCGCCATCGAAGACGCGACGGACGCTCGCGAGCGTTTTTTGTCGAATCGACTCAACCGTCTTGCCCGAGCTGATCTTATCGTACTTCCCATCGTTTCTCTCGCGCACGCCGCGCTCGGGGTCCCTGAACGAAGAGGCCGTGTCGTCGTCGTAGCGCGCGTGCGCGCGTTGGCGCGCGGCACGCATGACGACGATGGAGGGGAGAACAATGAGGTGGCTGGGAGACGCGAAAGCGAATCGAACGAGGCGACGCGCGGATGAGAGGTGAAGAACGCTCGATGCGCTCGCTGCGTTGCGTTACAAATGAGTGAAACTGGATTGTACGCGTTTATACGACGTCGTGCTGAACCTCGCACGCGTGGGCGGGGTGATGGTGATGATGATGGACGTTCGCGTGGGGCGCCGGACCGCTGTTGGTATTGGGCATCTGCCTGTTTCGAGACCGGCTCGGCTTCGCGTCGGCGCCCCTCGAGTCGACAGCATGTATGCGGAATATTTGGCTCCAGACGTTCGAGGACGTCGAGTGGAACCATGAGTAGCTATACTTGGGAGCTATGGGTAAATCGGCGCGCTTGTCCTGCGCGGCGACGTAGAAACCGTCCCAGTCGCGTTTCCAATCAATATTACGCCAGAACATGCTGCAATTGATCCAAGCGCCGGCGTCAAAGACATTGCGATACGGACGATCTTTGTCACCCGATTTGAGGTAATCGTACCTCCAAGCGTTCTCCATCTCGTTCACAGTGAGATTGGCCATGATGCCGAGCGCCATGCGCGCGACTATGAAGAAGCAATACAGGGTAAGTACTATTTGTAGTCCGAAGAGCCCCATACCGAACGGCGCGTGGTGTAAGACGTAATACCTCGTCACAACCGCAGGAAGGAATCCCGATCCGCCGACGCGTGGTGCCTCGAACTCCACGAGTGCTCCGTAATACTTTGCGCTGAAGTACAGGAATCCGAGCTGACCAATGAGCATCGTGAGCGTCGACATCAGGAACAACCTCTGATTCTTCGCGCCAATGCACGTCATCGTGATCGGGCAATGATGATCCATCTTCAGCACACATCTGTTGCAGAACGGGCAGTGCTTCGATCGCAGCGGTCGCGCGCAGTGACACGTGGAACAGTATCGACCTTTCATCATCATCTGGGATGCTTTCTCCGCCGGAGTTTTTCCGTCCATCGTCGCGCCCACGCGCTCCATCTCCAGAGACCACGCCGAGAAAGAGTTCGCCACCGTGGGCACGAATCCTGGTCCAACGGTATACGTCTTGTAAAACAGCCAGGGACACACGATGAAAGCCACGGCGGTGATGAAACACGTCATCGGCGACTCGGCGCCAAACATTGGAGCGTAGACGAAATAAAACTGTAGCGCGCACGCGAGCAAAATTGCGTGTACCGTCATCGCGGCCGGCGTCCCCACGTTGCGTGTGTTCATGTTGTACGTATTGTACCCTCTGGCGTGCCTATACACCACGAGTAAGAGGAGTGAGATCACGGTGAATGACCCAATGAAACCCAGCAACCCGACCCGCGCGGCGCCGAGCGTCGCGCCCACGATGCAAATCATGAACGGAATCATCACGTCCATCATCTTCGCGTGTGCGCGAAGGTAAACGTCGGTCCACACGTTCGGTCGTTCCTCGTTCTCCCCCCCGCGCTCCAGACTCATGAGATACGCCTCGTCGTCGGCCGCGGTCGGCTCTCTCGGCGCCGAGGTCCCTGGCTGCGCTCCAGCTTCCCACGCCCCCTCCCGCATCTCCGCCTTCGCCCGCTCCAGCATCATTAAATCCTCCGCCATCTCCTCCACCGTGCGCGTCTTCAACTCCTCCCCTCCGTAATTCTGCGCGAGCTCGGATAACCCTTCGCCGCCTCGCGTGATGCGCTCCGCGAGCGCCGCCACCCCGCGCTCGTCCTCCAACAACCTCCCGATCCCCGGTTGTCGCTCCAAAACCTTCCTCATCGTGGGAAACCGCTCGATCAGCGCATCGAGACGATCTCTCACCCGCAGTCTCGGCCCTTCCTTCGGCCGCGACGCCAAGTACGTCACCGCGCGCCGGTGCTGCGCCTCCAGCGTGCTCGCTTGCTCCGCGTCCCGTCTCGCGCTCGCGCTCATCGACGTCCGCGCCCTCTCGATCGCTTCTTCGCCAGCCGCGCGGATGATATCCTTCACCGACGTTCCGTCGCCTCTGCTCGCGGTTTCGCGCGCGGAAGACGACGGAATCGACGGCGATCGAGATCCAATTTCTGAGCTTTGATTGTCATCTTCCAAACTGGTTTCAAACTGTACGTCGCCGGTGCTCCGTGAACGCGCGCGCGGCGTTCGACGGTGGTCGAGGGCGGAGCCAGCGAGACCGTGGACGTCGTCGGGGGGCGCGCGCGCGCCGTCGGGAGGGCGCGCGGACATGGCTGCCCGAGGGGATCTCTGGGGACGCGCGCGGCGCGGATCGGGCGACGCGCGCGGAGCGCGAATGTTCTTATATTACACGGATCGCGGTGATCTCACGCCCTCGTGACTAGGTTTTCGTGCTCCAGGGCGCGAATGAGGAGCGATAAAGCGCCGACGTGATCGCCGGGCATGCGCGAACGATCGAAGTCGTCGACGCGGAGCGCGACGGCGGCGTTTGATTCGTAGCCATCCGCGGCGAGCGGGTACCTGGATGTGATGATTTCCTCGCTCGTGAGCGGCGTTCGCGCGTAGAAGACCATGCACGGACGGGCGTTGATGACTCTTCGGGTGATCCCCAGGATTCGGACGTCGGTGACGTCGCTCGGGTGCACGCCAAGCTCCTCTCCGAGCTCGGCGAGAGCGTTGTCGAAGACGTATCGCGAGACGTCCATGGATCGCGGTGCGTTCTCGTCGTCGACGTCCAGACCGAGCTCGCTCGGCTCACCGTGACCGCCCGGAAATACTAACGCCCCCGGGGCCTCGCCGACGTCGTCACTTCGCTGTAGCGCGAAGAAGTAGTCGTCCGCGGAGCGCAAACACACGCAGTTACCCAAGGCGTTCGCGAACCGCGCGTACCTCGAGCCCTCCTCTCTCACGCTCGCGCGGCCGCACGCAGACGACGTCATCGTCCCAAATGATCCGTCTGCGTCGTCGTCTTCGATGAAATCCCTCCAATCCTCCGAGAGATTCGTCGCGAGAAACGTCTTGTAATCCGTCAAACCGAGCGTGACGCGCGCCGCGACCGCGCGTTCCGCCGCCGTCCCCCCGCTCGTCCCAACCGCACACCCCGCGAAGCGAAATTTGGTACCGTTAAACAATTTCGGATTCGCCTCGATCCTCTCCCTCCACAGCGCGTCGATCTTCTCCTCGTCTCCCTCGCGCGCGCTGCGTCCCACCGCGCCGCGCCGCTCCGCGACGCACTCAACCGCTCGCCAATCCAACCCACCCTCTCGCGCGCACGCCATCGCGACGTCGTACGCCTGGAAATCCATCCGAGGCTCCCCGTCGATCGCTCGAGCGACCGCTCGGGGTCGTTTTGAAGAATTTTCTGAAAAGCACGACAGACCTCAACGCGTCACTCTCTGACGTCGCCGACGCGCGCTCGGGCGCTCGCGCTCGCCCAGGCGCGAGGGGATGATCGAGATCACTCTGAACGATCGATTGGGGAAGAAAATTCGCGTCAAGTGCAAGTGCGTCGGGCGCGAGACGCTGAAGAACGTCGAGCGCGTGATTGTGGACGATGCATGGTTCAATTGGAAAATGACGACGACGACGACGCCACGGCGACGATTGCGCGCGATTCGAGCGCGTGAAAACAACGCGGGACTGACGCGTGTTGCTTTTCCGTCGACGCAGCGAGGACGACACGATCGGGGACCTGAAGAAACTCGTCGCCGCGCAGACGGGGACGCGCGCGGAGAAGATTCGCATACAAAAGTGGTACACCATCTACAAGGATCACATCACGCTGGAGGATTACGAGGTGCACGACGGGGCAAATTTAGAGCTGTACTACAACTAGGCGCGCGATCGCGCGGTTTCGGTGGACGCGCGAACGTCGCGCGCGCGGCTCGAGCGACGCGCTCGAGCGGCGAGACGGCGAACGCCGACGCCTCCGCGCCACCGCGCGCGCGAGCGCGTGTGTCATCACATTATTTTTGTTGTCATCGCCTCACGCGCGCGCGCGCCGCGAGCACCATCGTGCGTCGTCGATTCGCCGCCTCGCGCGCGCGTCTCGCGCCCGCCGCGGCGGATCATCCGCACTCGTCGCCGCGCCATGTCCTCGTTATCGTCCGATTTCGCCGCGGTGCAGCTCCAGGCCGCGAAGGCGACGATGGACATCGTGGACGTCGAGCCGAAGTTGACGTACCGCACCGTGAACGCGGTCGCGGGCCCGCTGGTGATCTTGGACAAGGTTAGCAAAGCAAAGTACGCAGAGATCGTCAACGTGCGCATGCCGGACGGCACCGCGCGACGCGGACAGGTCCTGGAGGTGGACGGAGACCGAGCGGTGGTGCAGATCTTCGAGGGCACGAGTGGGATCGATGGGAAACGAACGAAGTTGGAGTTCACGGGGGAGGTGTTGAAGACGCCGGTGAGCGAGGACATGTTGGGACGGATTTTTAATGGAAGCGGTAGACCCATCGACGGTGGACCGAAGGTCATGGCGGAAAAGTATCTGGATATTCAGGGGGCGAGCATCAATCCGAGCGAGCGGACGTACCCGGAGGAGATGATTCAGACGGGGATATCCACGATCGACGTGATGAACTCCATCGCGCGCGGGCAGAAGATTCCGTTGTTCTCTGCCGCGGGTCTACCGCATAACGAGATCGCGGCGCAAATTTGTCGACAGGCCGATTTGGTGCGGCGACGGGGCGAAGATGGGCGCGAGGTGGAGTCGACCGGGACGTCAGGCGACGACGACTTTTGCATCGTCTTCGCCGCGATGGGGGTGAACTTGGAGACGGCGAACTTTTTCCGTCGCGATTTCGAGCGCACGGGCGCTTTGGAGAAGGTGTGCCTGTTTCTGAATCTCGCGAACGATCCCACGATCGAGCGCATCATCACTCCACGCATTGCGCTCACGACGGCGGAGTATTTGGCGTACGAGAAGGGCAAGCACGTGCTGGTCATCTTGACAGATATGTCTTCCTACGCCGACGCCCTGCGGGAGGTGAGCGCGGCGCGAGAAGAAGTTCCGGGTCGTAGAGGTTACCCTGGCTACATGTACACGGATTTAGCGACAATATACGAGCGAGCGGGACGAATCAAGGGGCGCAAGGGCTCGATCACGCAGTTGCCCATCCTCACGATGCCGAACGACGACATCACGCACCCAATCCCGGATTTGACGGGATATATCACGGAGGGTCAAATTTACATCGACCGACAGTTGCATAATCGCCAGATTTACCCGCCCATCAACGTCTTACCGTCGCTGAGCCGTCTCATGAAGTCTGCCATCGGAGAGGGCATGACGCGCAAAGACCACGGCGAGGTCTCCAACCAGATGTACGCCAACTACGCCATCGGTAAAGACACGCTCGCCATGAAGGCCGTTGTCGGGGAAGAGGCGTTAAGCTCGGACGATCTCCTCTATCTCGAGTTCCTGGATAAGTTTGAGCGCAAGTTCATCAACCAAGGCAACGAGGGTCGTAACATTTACGACGCCCTCGACCTCGCGTGGTCACTCCTGAGAATCTTCCCTCGAGAGCTCCTCAAGCGCATCCCCGCCAAGACGCTCGATCAGTACTATGATCGCGTCAACTAGATCTTCACCGTCGAACGCCATTTCATTCAATCAACACAAACATTTGATACGAAACGCTGTTAATAAGAGCGCGCCCGAGGCCCCTCCAGCTCGCCTCCCTCAGATCGACGCGCTCGACGCCTCGGGCGCATGCAACTCGCTCGAGTTTGCGTGAGCACGTCTAACGTCCCGCACCAGCGTCCCTCAACGCGCTCGCGCGTTCAACGCGTCGTCGCTCGCGTCGTCAAAGTGTCGAAAACGCAGAGCTTCGTCTCGGAAAGTCGAGACAAAAAACGGGCTTGCGTCGTCGCGTCGTCCTCGATGGCGTCTTCGAGCGGGTATGACGGCGAAGCAAAGGATGTTCTAGGATCCAGGCGGTCGACGGTGTTATCGGCGGTGAACGAGAGCACGAAGTTTGTTGTCTCGTGCACCGCGCTCGGTTTCCTGCTCATCAACCCGACAGCGGAGACGTGCTGGGCCCTGCTCGGGAGCGTCGTGAACAGCGTGAACGGGAAGATTTTGAAGCGAGTGCTAAATCAGGAGCGTCCGGATGGATCGAGGAAGGGTGATCCCGGGATGCCGAGCTCGCACGCGACGTCGCTGTCGTACCTGAGTGTGTACGGCGCCGCTTCGTTGGCGCATTTTCGCGACGCCGCGCCCGCGTTGGGGTACAGCGGGCAGCTCATCGTGAGTGGCGCGCTAGTTCTCGTCGGTATGTGGTTGAGCTACCTGCGAGTGAGCACGGGATATCACACAGCGCCGCAGGTGGTTGTCGGATACGGGTTGGGATCGACGACGGCGCTCGCGTGGCTCTTCGTCGGATTGAACTACGTCAAGCCCGCGCTGATCGCGCATCCAGAGATGCTCAGGGTATTACACTCGTTGTTGATCATCGCCATCGGGTGGTTCGCGTTCTCCGCCCTGCACTGGGTCGAGGGTCTTGTCGATTCGCTCAAGAGGAAATTTTATTCTTTAAAATCTGACTAGATCTGGCTAGCAGATCTGACATCTAGCACTATGAAATCTAGCGCGAACGGTTCGTTCGTCGTCATCACTAGTAGCACTATCGCGCTTCGGCCCTCACCAACTCGCCCATCGTCGTTTTCGTCGACGTCGACGTCGCGTGCTTCCAGAAGCAATCATTAGTCCTTCGGCTCCACCGTCTGCCAGATGCGAATCGTACCGTCTTCTGAGCCGGAGCAGTACGAATTTTGATCCGGCGCGAAACGAACGTTGTGCACAGGGCCGTGATGACCCTTGTTAGTTTGCTCCTCGGCTCCTGTCTCCATGTCGTGCAGGTGCACCCACATATCCGGTCCGCCCGCAACAAACTTTCTATGCTTCAAACTCACGCTCGCGCTCTCGACCTCGTACTCCATCGTCCACTTTTGAATCTTGGAAAAGTTTTGCAAATCCCAGAACGTCACGTCCTTCCCGTCCGCCGTCGTCATGTGCTTCCCATCCGCGCTCACCTCGATAGACATCACCGGCGACTCCGTGCTCAGCGTCGTCACCACGGTGTTCGTCCGCACGTCCCACACCCTGATTCCCTTATCCTCCGCGCACGAGCTCAAAATCAACTCGTCGTTATGTATGAAGCTCGCCGTCTTGATCGAGCTCGCGTGCCCCGCCATCGCGTACGGATCGGCTTCGGGTTTATTCAGATCGTAAATTCTCAGCAATTTCTCCGCGCCTCCGGTGAGCAACCGCTCTCCGTTCTCGCTAAAGCACACGCTCTTCACGATATGTTTATGTTGAAACGTCTTCAACTCGTCCCCGGTGATGGCGTTCCACAGCCTCGCCGAGAAATCCGCGCTCGCCGTCGCCGCGTGCGTCGCCTCGGCGTTGAGCGACGCGTCCCACACGCACCCTTTGTGTCCCTGAAACGTCCCCACCCAGTCCCCGGAGTCACCGCATCGCAGCATCGGTTGTCCATCCTTCGAAGACGATATCAGGAACACCCCGTCGGGGGTCACGCGGCTGTACTCCAGGTTCACGATCGGTCTGGAGTGTCCGTGACACACCAGCGGGACCTGGGGCATCTTCGCTGGATATTCTCTCCGTGTCCGTGCGTGTGGCGACGGTGCGCACGGCGCGTTCGCGCGTTCGTGCGGTGGAGCGCGGGCGGTGCGTCGCGCGCGTTCGTCCGGTGCGTCGCGCGCGCGGTGTCTCGCGCGTGACGGAGAGTGTGGGGACGAGGGTTGGGCGATCGGAAGACCTCTCTCGGGCGGGTCGAGCGCGCGGGACGCGGACAGCGGTCGAGCGACGCGACGGTGAATCCGCGTGAGAACGAACGATGCCGATGTACGCTGTAAGTTTGTTACAATACGGTTCAATAGCGGCGAGTCCGTCACGCGATTTAGTGTTTGCGTAGACGTCTCGCGAGGATGATGTATCGCTCGAGGTTGAAACCGCGGCTGCGCAAAATGTCCTCCGAGTACTTACCCTCGAGTTGACGCTGCCAGCTCTCGAACGTAAAGTCGCGACGGTTCCATAGGTAGTACGAATACGCCATAATGGCGTTCGAAAGGCCGACGAAGTACGAGATGGGCTCCATGACGTCCCAGGAGAACTCATAGTACGTGAGGCGAATAAACATCGCGAGCTGGCAACAGAGCAACACGAGACCGCTGGAGATTATCATTCGCGAACGCGACTCGGCGCGGCGTCGCGCTTGGTCGTAGTTATTCCTGAGCGCCTCGAACTCTTGCTGCATTTCCTCCAATTCGTTCTGCTTCATACCGTACACCTTGGACGGAACGCCCGGGAGCGCGCGAAGCACCGCGCTCGTGACCTCTCGCGGGCGCAGATAAACCAAATCCTCGAGCACCAAAATCATCCCGCTGTCCTGGAGCAATTGCAACTTCTCCGCAGTCTCCGCCGGTGATCTCGGCGGGGAGGCGCTGTTGCGCACGAGCTCGCGAAGCTCGTCCAAGCCCATCGTGTCCCGCTGGCGCGCCGACGCTTCCAGCTCCTCGTGCAGCAGGATCACGTCGTGCGTCCGAAGCAAGTTATCCAACACATTCTTATCCTTACCCTCCCCCGCCTTGGCGGTATCACCGGCGGTATTTTTCGCGAACGTCCGAACGCTCGAGTACGGCGTCACACCGCTCGATCGCGTCTCGCGTCTCGCGTCGTCCCGCCCATCCGCCCGTCCCGCGACGCCCGCGACGCCCGCCGAGGTCAACGTCGTCCGGAATCGCCCCCCGTTCGCGCCTCCAACGCTCCCGATCGACGCACCGGACGCGCATCTACCCACGAGCGTCACCAGATCGAGTCCACGACGTCGTACGAGCGCCATATCGAGCGTCGCGCGTCGCCCGGCGTCGACCAACTAATGCACCGGAGAATGCACAATTTCCACCGACGCCGTCGACGCGCGCGCCGTCGTCCGCGCGCGGATGCGCTCGCGGCGTCGTGCGCGACGGCGTCGGTGGGTGTCGTTCACGGACGACGCGCCCGCGCGACCGGCGACGCGGTGCGTCGGTGAATGTCGAGGGTGTTGGGCGATGTCGAACGATCACCGCGATCGGGCTCTGGGACACCGGGCGGGCGCGCGGGCGAGACGCGGGACGCGACGGGGAGATGATGCGCGCGTGAATCAATGACAACGCGTGACGCGGCGCTAAAAAAAGAAGGTTCTAAGCGAACGCCTAGACGGCTCGCGGGTCGTCGGAGGTGGGGAGGAAAAAACAAGACGCCGCGGCGACGGCGGCGGAGAGGGCGCAGAGAACCATGCCGGCGCGGTCCGAGCCGACGACTTGGTCGGCGAAACCCAAGGCGACGGGACCGATGAGAAAGACGAGATCGGCGGCGGACTTGGGAAGGGTCAGCGCTTCGCCCTCGCCGCCCTTGGGAGCGAGCTCTTGGGCGAGGGCGTTGATCGCGGGGCCGGCGGCGGCGACGCCCACGCCCCAGCACCCGATGAAGAGCATGAGCTCGGATTGCGTCGCGCTCTGAGATCCGAAGAAGAGCCCGGCGGCGCACGTCGCCAGCGCGGTGCCGGCGACGATCTTCTTCCCGAACTTGTCTGCCGCTAAACCGCTCAACGGAGCCGTGACTAAACCGAGAAGAGCGGTGACGGAGAATAAATTACCGACCTCGGCGGGCGACGCCCCGAGGTGGCCGCTGGCGTAGAGCGGGATCACCGTGAGCTTGGCGACGAACCCGAGCGAGTTCGCCGACGCGCACACGAGTAACACGCGCTGATCGGCCGTTTTTAAGAGCTCTGACCAAGAAGCTTTTGATTTTTGCTTCTCCAACACCGCCGCGCCCGCGATTTCGGCCGGCTTGAGCAACTCTTCCGCCGGCGACTCGTCCTCGTCTCTCGACGCGCCGAAACTCCTGAGGACGTCCATGAACCCTCCGTCGCCATCGTCCATGCTCGCCTTCAACTCCGCCTCCTGTCTCGTCTCTTCCGTGAGCGTCTCCGGAAGAAAACAGTACCCGATACCCGTCCCTAACGCCGCCGCCGCGACGTAATAAAAAGCCGCCGGCGCCCCGTACGCCTCCATCAACCGCCCGCCCAAGAGCGGTCCGACAACCAACCCGATCGCGTGCACCGTGCTCTGCGTCGCCACGATCAACCCCCTTTTTTCCGGCACTCGAGCGCACAAATCCGCCAAGAATGCCCTGTCCCCGCACTCGCATCCGCACCTACCCACCCCCAGAATAACCCTCGCCGGTACCAGCGACGCCACGCTCGTCGCCCGCGCGGTGGCGACGTCCGCGAGCGCCATCACCGCCATCCCACCAATCATCAACGGTTTTCGCCCGTATCGATCCGCCGCCTGTCCGAGCGGTAGATTTAAAGCCAGCATCGCCGCCGCGGGCGCGGAGATCACCAACCCGTTCGCCCCGCTCGACAATCCGATCGCCTGCGCGTAGAGCGGCAGCGCCGGGAGCAACGCGCCGACGCCGAGGTACAACACGAACTGCGACGCCAAAAGGGTCCGTAACGGTTCGTACGTGTCCCGGGGTAAGCCAAAAACCGTGTCTTCGTCATCATCAACCGGCGGGACGTCCAGGACGTCCTTTGGCGACGCGCTGAGCGTCGGAAAGGGGCGCTTTTCGTTCGGACGTAATCGATGTAATCGATGCGTCACGCGCGATGCCTCTTTCGCTCGAGCGCGTTCGCGCGCGACGCGCCGTCGAGGCGCGACGCGTCTCGTCGACGACGCGGTCGTCGCCCGCGTCGACGTCGAGGCGCGCATGACGCGACGCGACGTGACGATCGTCATCACCGAAGAGACCACGTCACATCACCTCGCGCCATGCTCTCGTCCATCTCCCGCCGCTTCGCCTCGACGGCGACGTCCGGGGAGATCCGCGACGTGGTCATCGTCGGTGGTGGCGTCGCGGGAGCGGCGCTGGCGTGCGCGCTGCGCAGGAACGAGGCGACGAGCGACCTTCAGGTGATGCTCGTCGACGCGAATGATTCGATAAAACGACCTCTGAAGGACGCCAAGCCCGACGCGCGGTGCGTCGCGCTCACGCCGCGATCGAGAAGCGTGCTCGATGCGTGCGGACCGCGCGTGTGGGCGCGGATCACGGAGAATGGACGCGTGCGGGCGTTTGATAGCATGCAGGCGTGGGACGGCGTCGGCGGCGGACACGTGAGTTACGCCGCGAGCGAGCTCGGGGCGGAAGCTCTGGGGCACGTCGTGGAGAATTCATTAATTTTGGAGGCGTTGGAGCGGGAGATGGAGACGCTCGGGGTGGAGCGCGTCGGGAAGGCGAGCGCGTCGGAGACGCGCGCGCCGAGGGAGAGCGAAGCGGGCGCGTTGGCCGAAGCGAAGATTTCAGTCGATGAGGACGGGAAAACGCGGGAGTTCGACGTGCGAGCGAGGTTAATCGTCGCCGCGGACGGACCGAAGAGCGCGGTGCGGAAAAGCGCGGGGATTAAGATTGCGGGGTGGGGGTACGGGCAGCGAGCGGTGGTCGGGACGGTTCGCACGGATAGAGCGCACTCAACGGCGTGGCAGAGGTTCTTGCCCACGGGGCCGATTGCGTTGTTACCCATCGGTGATGGCACGTACTCCAACGTCGTCTGGACGACGACGCCGAGCGAGGCGAAGCGATTAGCCGAGGACGTGAGCGACGAAGAGTTCGCGCAAGAGGTGCACGATGCGCTTCAAGGTCTGGGGGCGTATAAATCACCGTTTCAGGAGAACTTCGATCGATTCGCGACGTTGCGTTTCTTTGAGGACGCGGTGAATCAGGCGTACAAACCACTCGTGCGCGTCACTCGAGAGACGGTGAGCCGGGCGGTCGGCGTCCCCGTCATCGAGTCCGCCGAGGAGGATACGTGCGCCGAATTCGCCCCGAGATTCCGGTACCCGCCCTTTGTCTCACCCGCGGGTACTGACACCAAGCGTGGCTCGTTCCCGCTATCGACGCATCACGCGCTGTCGCTGACCAAGCCGCGATTGGCGCTCATTGGAGACGCCGCGCACGTCGTCCACCCACTCGGCGGACAAGGATTGAACCTCGGTCTGAGAGACGCCGAGCTCTTGGTGAACGCCATCGCGCGCGCCCGCGAGCTTGGTCAGGACATTGGAAGCGCCAGCGCGCTGGCGCCGTACGCCAGAGCGAGCGTCGCCGCGAACGTGCCCATGATGGCCGCTCTCGACGGTTTACAAAAGCTCTTTAGCGCCGAGACGTACCCGGTGACGTTCGCTCGATCCCTCGGTCTCGCCGCCGTCAACGCCACCGCTCCAGTGCGTCGTAAAATAGCCTGGTACGCCATGGGTGGCGCGTGATCGCTCCACACTTTGTTATTCATATCGCACGTTATTCCTTTCCATCCGTCCCGCCCTGCGCCAACCGCGCGCCGCACATCGCGACGTCCACCGCGATGTCGCGCCGAGACCGCTCGACGTCCACCAGTCGGTCGAGAGACTTACCGCCCTCCTGGTCGACCTGGCTCGCCGACGCCAACGACGCGCTCGTCGCCAAGGGCGTGGACAGAGCGCTCAGACCAATTTCACCAACCGAAGACGCGTCGACTTTCACCGCGCGCGTCGACGCGCTCGAGCGATTCCGAGCGAACGAGAGTGATTTAGGCGAGTCTGTAGACGCTCCGGGGCCGTCACGGCGGGCGACGTCGTTCAGTTCGAACGATTACTTGGGGTTGGGGACGCACGCGCGGACGCGGGCGGCGGCTTCGCGCGCGGCGGCGCGTTTCGGATGCGGACCTCGGTCGTCGGCGCTGATATGCGGGTACACCGAGTGGCATCGTTCGTTAGAGGTTGAGCTCGCGAAGTTATGCGAGACGGAGGAGTGCTTGCTGTTTCCGACGGGATACGCCGCGAACTCGACGGCGCTGCAGGCGCTGTGCGGCGAAGCGGAGTGCGCGATATTCAGCGATGCGCTGAATCACGCGTCGATCGTGGACGGGTGTCGATTAGCGAAACAGGGTGGAGCGAGCGTGCACACGTTCTCTCACAAGGATTACGACGAGCTTGAGCGGGCGTTGAGAGCGTGTGACGCGAAGAGGAAGGTTGTCGTGAGCGATAGTTTATTTAGCATGGACGGCGATTACGCCGACGTCGATAGATTAGTCGAGCTTAGGCGAGAGTACGGGTTTTTACTCGTCTTAGATGAGGCACACGCGACGTTGGTGTGCGGCGATCGAGGCGGGGGCGTGGCGCAGGCCAAGGGGCGGTGCGCCGACGTGGACGTGCACGTCGGCACACTGAGCAAAGCCGTCGGCGCGCACGGTGGATTCGTCGCGTGTTCGCGAGCGATGAAGCTCTTCTTGGTTTCACGAGCGCGGGGACAGATGTTCAGCACGGCGTTGCCCGCGCCCGCGATCGCGGCCGCGATCGAGAGCCTTAAAGTGTTCACGGACGAACCGTCCATTCGCGCCAAGCTCTGGAGCAACGTCGACCGCATGAATGCGGCGATCGCGAGTCATCCGATATTAGCGTCAATGACGCGCCCGTTAGAGAGTCCTATCGGGTGCGTCATCATCGGCACCACCGACGACGCCCTGGCGGCGGCGTCTGAGCTCTCACGAGCGGGATTCCACGTTCCGGCGATTCGTCCGCCGACGGTTCCCGCCGGCACGTGTAGGCTTCGCATCGCACTGAGCGCCGCGCACTCGCACGATGACATCGACGCCCTGGCGTGCGTGCTCGCTCAAGCGGTCGAGCGCGCGCGTCGTCCTCGATCGAGACTGTGATCGGGCGCACCAATAGATATTCCGTTGTCGTATCACGCCGCTCGCGCCCGCGGGCGTCGCCTCAGTCTTCGATGCGCGCCGCGACACTCGCGCCACGAATCACCGAGCTCCGCACCTGTACGCGCGCGCGCGCGCCCATTCGCCACATGCCGGTCACGTCCATCGCCTCGAGCAAGCCCGATAGCTCTCAAAGCACCGTCGTCGGCGAGCGCGACGTCCACGCGGAGAAGTGGATTAAGCTCGTGCAGGTCGAGTACACGGATCCGCTCGGTAAACGCAGAACGTGGGACGCCGTTCGACGAACGACGACGAAGCGTGACAGCGAGGCGGACGCGGTCTGCGTGTTCGCGACGCTCAAGCGCGCGGGTGCGGAGGATGAGGTGCTCCTGGTGCGACAGTTTCGACCGGCGTGCGGGACGGAAACCATCGAGTTACCGGCTGGATTAATCGACGACGGCGAATCGGCGGAGACGAGCGCGCTGCGGGAGTTGAAGGAGGAGTGTGGGTACGTCGGGGTCGTGCGAGGGAAGACCCCGGCGGTGGTGCTCAGTCCTGGATTGTCGGACGAGAGCGTCGTCATGGTGGAGGTGGACGTCGACGCGGACGCCGAGGAGAACAAGAACGTGTCGCAGGCGCTGGAGGGATCGGAGTTCATCACCGTGATTCGATGTCCAAAGAGCGAGTTGTTGAGCGCGTTGGACGCGTTCTCCGCGTCCGGAGTGCGGGTTTTCGCCGGGCTTTACACAGTTGCTTGGGCGCTCGCGCGAGAAAATTTGTGATTGTTATTCGTACGCGCTCATTCAATTGACGCTCATTCCTCAGTCTCGGGATCGAGAGAGTACGCGGCGTTGCGTGTGTCCATTTCCATCAAGATCTGAACGACATTTTTAGTCGTCGGTGACGTAAACGTGTCCACCTCAGGTTCGGAATCGTCGCCCGAGAGCGGTTGCGTCTCCATCGTCGGCGATGGCGTCAGCGTCTCCTCATCCGACGCCTCCTCGGGCTCCTCCGCGGTGAGCATGAGTTGATCCTCCGATTTATCGTTTGCGTCGTCGTCCTCGTCGTCGCCGTCGTCGTCCTCGTCTTTCTCCCGGTCGGCCGCGAACACGGGAGACGGCGCGCTGATTCTCGGCGATCGTCCGTCGTCCGCCATCGTCGCGCCCGCTTTCGCCTTTGTCTCCTCTACATCCGTCGACGCCCTCCCACGCTTCCTCGAAGACCCGAGCGTTTCCTCCACCATCGTCGCCTCCTCGCGTTCAGCCTTCGCGAGCGCCCTTTTCATCGCCCCGATCGCCGCCGCGTCTCCGCCCGCGCACTCCAACTCGGTCGCCGTCCACGCATTCGTCTCCGCGAACGCTCGCAATCGTCTCGCGATCGCCTCCCCCCCCCGCGCGCAATCCACCAAGCCACGCACCAACCCTCGTCGTCGTCGATCACACAGCTCTTTCGCCTGCGCCAGCAGCACCGTCATCGCCCGGACATCCGGCCGTCCCCGCGACGCCCGCGCGCACGCCGCCGCCGCCGCCGCCAGCCGCCGCCCTCTCGCGCTCTCCCTCGCGTACGCCTCGACGCAGTGATCGGCGGTGGACCCCAGGCGGCGCGGGACGTCAATCGCCCGACGCTCTCGCGGGTTCTTCGTCGACGCCCGCGACGCCGCGACGACGGCGACGGACGGCAGGCGATGCATCAATCGCGGCTCCTCGCACTTTTCGTCGACATTCGTAGACATCGCGCGCGCTCCCGGCGCGCGCACCGCGTCCGAAAGCGTCGCGCGGCGCGTCGACGGGCGCGCGAAAACACTCCACGTGATCGCCCCGTGAACGTCGCGCGTGGACGTCGCGCGTGGACGTCGCGCGCGCGAGAGTGCGGTGCCGAGATTCGATCGAATGGCTCGCGATCCACACATCGCGACGTCGCGCGCGCGCCATCGCGCGCGGTGGTCGATCGACGCGCGCGACGCGGGGCGAGGAATGTCGCGCGTCGGCGCGCGCGCGCTGCGCGCGATGGCGCGCGCGAGCGCGGCGCGACGGGGCGATGCGTCGGCGTCGACGCGAACGTTCGCCTCGGCGTCGTCGAGCGATCTGCGGCTGTGGCCGAGCGTTCGAAGGCTGTGCGATGAACACGGGTTAGATCCTCGAGCGTTAGCGCCGGGGAGCGGGCCCAGAGGGGCGCTGGTGTACGCGGACGTGTTGTTGAAGATTGGCGCCGTGGACGCGGCGGCGCTCGAGCGCGTCGGACTGCGCGCGCCGACGCCGATACCGGACGTCAAGCCGACGACGCTGTTGGAGGATTACGCGCACGGGAAGGCGAAGGCGCAGACGCACGAGGACGAAGCGACGAGTAAGATGCGACGGGTGGTCGCGAGTCGGTTGGCGGAGAGCAAGGCGCGATCGCCGCACGCGTACGCGAGCGCGGACGTCGATCTGAGCGCGATTGCGGCGCTCCGGAAGCGGGTGCTGGATGCGCACGGAGTGAAGGTGAGCGTGAACGATTGCGTGATGTACGCCGTCGGGCGGGCGCTCAGGGAGGTGCCGGAGATGAACGCGGGATGGGACGAAGCCGCGGGCGGAGCGACGGCTTCAGAGAGCGTGGACGTCTGCGTCGCCGTGGCCACGGACGACGGGTTAATCACGCCCATCGTGACCAGAGCGGACGAGAAGACGTTGCGGGAGATCGGTGCGGACGTCAAGGCGTTGGCGCACAAGGCGCGCGAGGGAACGCTCAAGCCGCACGAGTTCATGGGCGGTTCGTTCTCCGTCTCAAATCTGGGCATGTTCGGCGTCGACGCCTTCTCAGCCATCTTGAACCCGCCTCAGGGAGGAATCTTAGCCGTCGGCGCGGGTAAAGAGCGCGTCGTCCTCGTCGACGGGCAACCGTCGACGACGCAGACGATGACGGCGACGGTGAGCGTGGACAGACGCGTCGCGGACGAAGCCGACGCCGCGCGTTGGCTCGACGCCTTCGCCGCGCAGTTCCGACGCACCGAATCCTGGGCCGTGTGACATCGACGCACCGTATGATACCATCCACACCGAACGCCCGCTCGCGCCATCGCCCGTCGCCTCGACGCGCGCCGTTTCGCGTCACACCGGCGCCGATTCGCGTCACACCGCGCCGCGCCGCGCCCGCCATGCGCGCCTCCGCGGCGTCCACCGCGCCTCCGTCCGCCCACGCGCGCGCGCGTCCCCCCCCGCGGGGCATCACGACCTCCGCGCGCGGCGTCTCCAAATCCCCCGGCGCCATCGTGAACGACGCGACGTCGGCGATGGACATTCTTCAACTCGCGTGGGCGATCGCGTTACCGAGCGATGCCCCATCGGTCCCTCGCTCGCTGGCGTCCACGGGCGCGGCGCGGCGACGGACGTGCGCCATGGCGCTGCGACGACTCGCGAAACTCCTCGTCGGCGTCGCGCGCGCGCGCGAGCGCGAGGCGATCGTGAACGACGCCGCGTTCGGACGCGTCGTCGAAGGCGCGTTGTGCGACGCGGATGAGGAATCGTGTGTCGACGACGACGCCCGGGCGACGGCGTTGGAAGAGACCGCGCGCGCGTTGGGATCGTTAGCGCCGTTCGAGCTCACGGCGAACGCGCGGGGGTACTTGGAGCGGGCGTCGAGGACGACGCCGATGCCGGCGAAGTGCGCGAGCGTCGTCTCCTGGGCGCTCGCGCGGTGCGGGTTGGAGACGCCGAGCGAGGTGGAGAATGCGCTGCGGGGGACGCCGTTTCGGTTTTGTCCGAAGATGAGCGCTGGGTTGATCGATCTGGATGAACTTCGGCGCGAGGTGGGGTTTCGTCGAGAGAAGTTGACGACTCGAGACGGTCGTCGAGTGGACGAGCGACGGGAGACGTGTTGGATGGGCGAGGCGCACGTCGGGTCGTACGCGTACTCGGGTAAAATAATGGAACCCGTCCCGATGGTACCGTGCGTCGCGCGCGTGCGGGACGCGCTCGAGGCGAAGATGGGCGAGCGGTTCGATTGTTGTCTCATCAATTTATATCCAAACGAAACCGCGGCGTGCGCGTGGCACACCGATCCGCTCATGGGGACGCGTTACGCGACGGATAGCGTCATCGTGAGCATCGGCGAGACGCGACGGTTCAGTTTCCGACCGATCGGATCGACCGATGCCGAGGCGCACTGGGTTCGAGCTATCGATGGCGATTGCATTTGGATGTTTGCGAATTGTCAAGACGCGTACGAGCACTGCGTCATGACGTCGGAGGGAGAAGAAAACGGCGCGCCCAGGGCGAGCATCGTCTTCAAGCGGAGCTTGAAGAGGCGGGCGGCGGCGCCGCGGAAAAAGAAACCGAGCACCGTCGAAGATCGGGGAGGGAGGGAGCGTCGTAGCGACGGTGGGAGAGGACGCGGCGGGAGAGGACGCGGCGGCCGAGGACGCGGCGGGAGAGGAAGAGGACGTTCATAGCAAGCAGCGTGTTGTACATTCAATATTTCAATTTGAAAGCGAGGAGCTCTCGCCGTCAGAATTTCCTACCGGCGAGAAAATCGTCGTGATCGTCGTCTTCTGAATCCGTAAAGGACAAGCCGAATGAGCTCGAGCCGACCGATTGCGGACGCGACCCGATCTCGCTCGCGGCGCATCTCACGAGCGGGAGCAATTCCTCGCGTCGACGTCTCAGGTGCATCGCCGTCGAGCGAAGCACGCGTCGTCGCGCCACGTCTCGGGTCGATGTTCCTGATTTTAACGTCTTAGCTTCGTTCGCTAATCGTCGCGCTTGTTCTCGCAGCTCCTCGTACTCGGCGACGGCGGCTTCCAAATCGTCATCCGCCGTTTGATCCAGTTCGTCCAGAAAATCATGTAGCCCATCCGTCTCTTTCCGATGGAACAACCACCCGTAGAGTGCGTTCTTCGTCCTTCCCGCGCGCGTTTTCGCCGGCGTTACCTGCGATGACTTTTTCCTAGCCCCTCGCGTGAGGTCCACCCACGCCGCGAAGGTTGCACCGAGCGCGTTGACCGTCCGATACGATTGAAAAGTGATAGCCTTTTCCTCGCGATCGCGCTCGCCCGCCGCCACCGCCCCTCGCCACGCTCGAATCGCCCTGACGCACGTTTTTACTTCGTGGAACATCACCGCGACGAGTTTATTCGCGCGAGCGTCCGCGGCGTCCTCCGCGACGCGTACCCACGCGTCCATCGCCCGCTTCAACAACGTCTTCCTCGCGTATCGATCGCACAGATCCTCCTTCGCTCGAACCGCCTTCGCCACCGGTGCGCACGCCTCGCGCCACGCTCGAAATCCTCGAGTGACCAACCGCGTCCAATCGTGATACCGACTCACGTACTCGAGCGCGTCGGCGCGCTCGCGCGCGCGCGCCGCCGCCGCCGCCGCCGCCCGCCATCGACGCGCGCACCGACGCACCGACGCCTCTCTCGCCCGCGTCCTCGACCGCGTCGACGCCTCAACGCGCCACGCATCGAACGTTCGCTGCGTCGTGATCAACCGCGCGTAAATACCCGCTCGACGAATCCGTCTTCGCGTCTCTCGCGCCGCGCCGCGCACGCCTCCAACGCCGCGCGCGCCGCGCGCCTCGCCACACCTCCCGCGCGCGCGTCGACGCCACCCCCGACCCATTCTCGACGCACCATCGCCACTGTTCGATCACCACCCGCGCCAGACGCCCTCGTCGATTCCGCATCCGTCGTTCGCGCGCCGCGGCGTCGGCGTCGTCCGCCGTCGCCGCCGAATCATCCGCGCGTCGCGTCGTCGACCACTCGACGACGTCTCCATCGCGCCCGTCGAGATCTCCCGCGCGCGCGACGCACGCGGACGTCCACGCGCGCCCGGACGCGTCCGCGGTCTCGAGCTCGGTCGCGGCGTCGTCACGCGCGAGCTCCAGCGCGATGGTCAGCGTCGATGTATTTTTTGAATCGACCCACCACGCGCGCGTTGACTCCTCGCTCGACGCCGCGTCCGCGCGCGCGCGCGCGCGGGCGTCGCCGCGACCGACGGTGCGATCGCGTCGTCGCGGTGCGGGCGCGAAGACGACGCGGGAGACGCGGGCGTCGTCCATCGATGCGCGTCGACGAATGGGCGTCGGCATCAATCATGATGCGTGACATGAATCGTCACCGCGCGACGCGTCCACGGCGGCGCGCGGTGCCCGGGGGCGGATGCGGTGCGTCGCGCCGGCGTCGCGCCTCGCGCGCGGGGCG